ATAATTGCATATTATTATATGTTATGATAACTATTAATAGATGTATAATTAGTTTAATTTTTAATAAAATATTATATTGTTTTAAATTTTAGTGTATATTTGTTATTTGTGATTTAATATATTATTTGTTGTTTATGTGAATTATGTTTGATTAATATACAACTAATTATTGTAATTGTGTGAATTGTTATTTTCTTGGTAAAGAGTAGATAGAAGCATAGTTTTAAAACCCAGCCCCGCCCGGCAGGTTGACCCGGGACCCGGCCGACCCGGGGCTGGAACCGGGCCAGGTTGATGAAAAAATAAGGTAAGTCATGACCCGGCGTGACCCGACCGACCCGACGGGTTGACCCAGAAACCCGGACGACCCGACAAAACCCGGTGGTAACCCGTTGACTTTTATTTATTTTTTTATTAAAACGACGTCATTTTGAATTTTTTTTAAAATAGAAATTGACCCGGCCGACCCGTTCGACCCGGTCAAAACCCGGTGACCCGGTCAAAACCCGGAACCCGGTCAAAACCCGGAACCCGGAACCCGGGCCTTGAACCGGGCCAGCCACCGGGCCGGGTTTAAAAACTATGGATAGAAGAATAGATTATCCTGTATGCTTCTGTTAGAGAAGTTGCAGATATTATCTTTAAAATGCAAGTTGTGGATGGCACGTGCGACTCTCTCAGCTATGCTAAATTTTTTTTTTTTTTTGAGTTACTTTACATATTAATTTTTTAAAATCCGCTTACTTACCAAAACACTCCTTAAACACAAAGAAAGCACGTATACGTTGTGCAGCTAGCAACAAATAGAAGATGACGCATCGTTAATTATTTTTTGTTCTTTTTTCAATGAGGCACAAACATTTGAATTTTCTTTTTCAAAAGTGGTTTATTATCTCTTTTTTTCCACATAAAATAGGTTAAAATTATACTAAGAACTTCATTAAAAGTATATCAAATCTCAAAATCAATTTCAATTCTCTTTTAAACAATAAATCATCAAATCAATTTCCAAAACCTATTTCTACAATGGAGGGCTTCATATCTACCTTTTTAAAACCACTTCAAAGCTTTTAAGCACCTTCAATCGACTCGGGATGTCAAGATCCAAAAAAAAAAAAAATTAGTCAAAGTGAATGAATCATCTCTGCACCTTAGGTCATGCATGCGGAAATACACAAAAATATCCTCTCTCTCTCTCTCTTTTTTTTTTTTATGTCAAAGAGAGAGATCGAGGCCGAGTATTGTAAATCATGCAACTATATGAAAACACTACAAACCTAACTATAACCTAAATCAATCAAAGTGATTATGTTTTATTGAATAAGAGAATTAATGAAATGCAAAAATAAATTTAATTACAAGGTTGTTTTTGTATTGCAAATGGAGTGTTGGATGAAAAACCACTGGAGATTTTTTTTAATTTTTGATAAATTTATAGTATTAGTTTAATGGAAAAAATAGTGATTATATGTTTTATGACAAAGTTATAATATTAATATTGTGATGGCTCTTTAGTTATTGTATGGAATATAATGATAATCATATAGATAATCTAATATTTTTTATTGATTTTTTCTTGGTGATCCGTATAAGAATGTAAAGTGTGATATAATTTCTGGAAGAATAGAGATTAAAAAAAAGAGCAAACTATGTAAAAGCTCTGTGTAATTAACAAAAAAAAAAACCTATTTTATGGGAATTAATATCATTAGAAGAATAAAACTGATATATATATATAGTGCTTGAGATTAGATATGGGTAACGTATTTAAGATAGATTGAAAAACAATTTAATCTCAATATAAAAGAAATTCATCTAAAAATATAATAACCAAAGAAGGAATCCGGACTGGCAGCTGGATTTTTGTGTGATAATGGGCCGGGCGGCCTACTTTATCCACCCAGGCTCTTGACATTCTGAACACTCGTCAGGATTGAATGTTTTAATCTACTGTGGTTGGACCGAATGGGGCAGATTTGGTTTCTGGACCAAACCAATTAAATGTTAATTTTCTATTAATAAATTAATACAAACAGTAATTAATTACACAAGGTTTTTTTTCCCGCTAATGACTAATCTTTCAAAATTCAAAAATTAATGATTATATAAGATTTTAGTAATTTTAAAATTTATAATACAAGAATTAATAATATAAGATTTTAATAATTTTAAAGTTTGTGACACAGGAATTAATAATTTCTAGAACGCTGCATCTTAACTAATCTTTTAAAATCCAAACATCTCAATTAATTTTTTAAAATAAAAAAATTAATGATTATATAAAATTTTAGTGGTTATGATATAGGAATTAATAATTTCTAAAAAGCAAAATTAATAACTAAAATTATCACATAAGATTTGTGTGTTATGAGATATTGTTTATTAAGATATAAAACCCGAGACTCTTTAGTTGCCTCACGGTTTATTTATTTTTTGTTAAAAAAATTATTTTTTATTTTAAATTATTTTTTATATATTTTTATTAAAAATAATTTTTTAAATATTATTTTAATATATTTCTAAACAAAATATATTTTAAAAAATAATTTTTATGATGTTACCTCCACCATTTAAAAAAAAAAAACTGAAATCATAGAATTTCAATAATTTCAAACTTATTGAAGAAGCTCAGTGGCCGGTATACGATCAGTAAGCCAAGTCCTCGTGGGAGCGTTTGTGCCAGAAAATAAGATATACGGAAATTCAAATAAAAATATATATAAGGATGAGATTGAAATATATATATATATATATATAAATGAAATTCGAATGAACCTTTTATATTTAATTTAATCGTTAAAAGCCACAAACTTTTAAACACTAATCCTAATCTCAATTAAGTAGTTGAATATAATTAAGATGAGTTAATTTAATTACAAATAAATTTTTTATTTATTTCTAAAAAAAGCAAGATGTAACAAATAACTCCAAAGAAAAAGCAATGCAATATATGATGGGGGTTGAAGGGTGAAATAAATAAATTGCAGTGCTTCTAATAATATTGGTTAATTAAATTACATTACTCGTAACAACTGTCTTGATTACGCCGCAATGAGGGCTGAGGAGCGCAGGCTAACAACGTGCAAAAAAAAACTAACATCTCGTCAAGCTTTCTTTTCTTTTCTTTTTCTGCTTGAGCAAGCACCTCACTCCTTGTATCTCCTCACTTCCTTGCAAGCATAGCATGCATGAACTCTAGAGCGTGCTCGATTACACCAAATATCCCAGAATTGTTCGTGGAACAAAGAGATTTGCAAGCAATTTTGCAGATATAAGCAGAACATGAAACATTGTTTTTAACTGGGGCAAAACAAAATGTAGTCGTAACATTTATTTCCATGCATGGAAATTAAAGGTAGAGGCACTTCATATGGATTGGAGGGGAAATGCTACATGAAAATTACTTGAGAACAACCAGCAAGCAGGAAGAAGAGCCCTGCATACACTAAAAAAGGAGATCAAATATTTTGCATCAACATTGTAGTTGCATTTAGTTTATAAATTACTCTTTCTTCTCTTCCTTGGCATCATCTACCTTCTTGGCATCCTCTACCTTGGCTACCTTGGCATCCTCTACCTTCTTGGCGTCCTCTACCTTGGCTACCTTGGCAACTTCCTTCACCTTTGGTTTCCCCTGCTTAGGCTTCATGAAGCAGAAACATGAGCAGCAAGGGCACTGGAACAAGAACTTCATTGCTAACTTACGCCTTCTCTCTCCAAACTTCTCCCAAACCCCTGTAAAAAACGTCTTAGCCTTTGCTGTGATTTTCTATCTCCTTTCTTATCTAAATAATGTCATTCATTCTTACTTTTTTCTTTTTCTTTTTATTTTCCATAGGATTCCAAATCAATCACTCTCAATAGAGAAGATACGTAACAAATAATGCCAGCCTTGGACTGTTGAGTGGTGGGGGCTGCCCATGAGCGAGGATGAACTTAATAGAGTAACAGTCTCTTCTTTGTGGGTCATCTCTAGCCCACTTACGTTGAAATTCAGGGGATCCTTCTGATTTCGTTGTCTCTCATTAAAAACTCCAAGCTGGCAACCATTATTGTGTCCTTACATATTTTACATTTGCGGTTAAAGTTTCAATCTTTTTTCTTGTTTTTTCTAGAGTAGAATAAATGTAATACACCTAGATTTTGGCCATGTCCCCAGTTTTTTTACTTGATTTTGCTTGATGGACAATGTAGAAACATAATCAACCGAAGTATAATGGCTATTATGAACTAGAAAGCAGTTCTTCTCGTCTGTTTTTGGGTTTAGCCACATGCAAATGCTCCACCACTGAAAGGAAAAGAAGTTGGGAAAAGGCATGTGACTTTCAATCCATAATGCGTTTTTCATGTCTGCTTGTGCCACCAGCTTCAAAGATCAGACCCTCGCGAGTTGCTGCCTCGGATCAGATTACTACTACAAACACAAAAATTCTAGAAATTTAAAGACCTCCATGCATGCTGAGATCGCATTGCTCATTCACAAATTGAAGCACAACTACCACCATCAAAGTTCCCAGATTAACCACTGAACAAACCTTCATTAAATTGCTTGAAGTGATACAGAAGGCAAGCAAGCAATTTTCGTGAGAATTCGAGTCACCTATCTTACAAAAAACTTCAGTAAGGATACATTACTGGCAACATTATTATAACTCTGTATTGCTACTTCAGTAATTCATCACATGGAACTGTATAAAAAGCAGGGTAATTGCAAGTAAAAATAATCAAGACACAGTGCATCACATTCTAATCATTCGAATTTTGGGATAACATTATTAATCTTAGACTTTTATCCCCTGCTTTATTACTTTCAGCACAATATTCCTCTTTTTGGGGTATCTCACCCCCTTTTTGTGAAAGCTACTTTTTATTTACAAAAGAAACAATGATTTGTTAAACTTACAGTCCCTTCTGTTTGTTTGATGCGTATCAAAAATATATCTTCTGAAAAAACATCAAATTAATATTTTAATATATTTTCAACTATAAAAAAAAACACATTTAAAAAACATTATAAATCACAATACCAAACACAAACTTAATTAGAAAGGCATTGCAGTGCGAGTCTCACAATTCACAATTTTCAGTGAGTTCAAAGTCGAGCAGATCGTTTTAGTTGCTCAGCTGCACGATAGTCATAGACACCAATACCACGTTTTCGTCCAAGACGACCCGCATCAACATACTGCACAAGAAGTGGACATGGAGCATATTTATTGTCCCCTAAGCCAGTCTGAAGAACTTTCATTATCGACAGGCATACATCCAGTCCAATGAAATCTGCAAGTTGTAAAGGACCCATTGGATGGTTCGTTCCTAACTTCATTCCTGTATCAATATCCTCCCTTGTTGCCACTCCTGTATAGAGAGCATAAAATGCTTCATTTATCATTGGCATTAAGATCCGGTTTACAACGAAGCCTGAAAAATCTTGAGAGCATATCACTGTCTTGCCAAACCTGCAGAGTTAATGGTGATCGAGATAAAAATAAATGTTAGACCACTCTTTAATACATTACAAAAAAGGCACGAGCAGGGTGGAGGGAAGAGCAAACGAGGACCTGGTTTGCTTTTACTTTCAAAAAAATTCAAAATGAAGAAGATAATTATTTAAATGGATTTGGCAGGAGAATGTTGAGGGGAGGACATAAGAGGAATGAAAGGTGCTGTTGTTTCATAGGAGGAGGTATTCCGGTCACCTCTCTGCCAATGCCTTGGTTGCATAAAATGTATTGTCTGATGTGTCTGCACCGCGTACAATCTCAACCAGTTTCATTATAGGAGGAGGATTCATGAAATGCATGCCAATCACCTGCAGATGATACTTTTTTATCCAGTTAGAATCCCGTTCTGTGAAAACCAACGCAATATACATGATCTAAAGTTAAAAGAACTTCTTTTTTGATTCTTGCAAGTGTTGTTAATAGATGTCCTTAGCATTCGCTAAAAACAAGAAACATATTCTGAGTATAACCTGGCGTGGCCTGCTAGTTGCAGATGCTAGGCGGGTAATGGAGATGGAACTTGTATTGGATGCCAAAATGGCAGAACTTTTTGCTATCCTATCTAGTTCAAGGAATAATGTTTTCTTCGCATCTTCGGATTCCACGATAGCTTCAATGACAATATCTGTCATACGCAGCTCTTCTAAATTTGAGCTACACCGTAAATGGCCCAACGCATCGTTACCTGCAGCCTGTCAAGTGGAGTTAAAAGAAACTCTTTGAGGTTAGAATATATATCAGTTTACACTAATAAATTTCTTTCTTTGTCAATATCTCTACCAGCAATCCAGCATGACATTAAAATTAAAACAAAAATTAAAAGGCACCAACCTTTTACCATAACAAAAAAACACTGGACAGAATTAGAGCATATTTTGAGCCAAATTAGCCTCTAATTATATATTTTTTAGAAAAAAAGATTGAATTGAAAGCTGAAAGACTGAGCAAAACTCTCTAGTAACATGGGGGATGAGTTGAAAGTTCCATATAAACATTCATTTTAATTCCTTAAATTTTTTAATATTAGATGATCAGTCCCTTGAATTTCAAGATAATCTATTTTGATACCTAACTTTACTTTTTTTATTTTTTCAGTCCTTTTCTATTGGGAAGAGAAAGAGGGGGTTGTTAGATTCCGATTTAAAGAAAAAAGGTGGTCGTTAGGGAAGATTACAGCCACCAAAACAATTGATTTTTGTATCAAAAAATTCCATATTATAATGAGGGTTAAATTTAGGTATTTCTTTTTTTACCTTGAAAACGACTAAAACAACAGATCTGAGCTCGAAAAGAATTTTTATTTCTAGTGGATTTCAAGTTTTAGATCGGTTTGTTAGCTTTTTGGTAGCCATGGATTGGTTTAATAAAGTCTTTAGGGTGTTTTCTATATGTTTTGAGTAAAAAATAAATTGGAAATGAGATTTTAGGTGAAAAAACAAAGCTTGTTTTTCCGACCACCACAGTGGCTGGATTATAGGTTTTATTAGGCGACGGGTTGTTTCTTTAACTATTTGGGGTGTTTTCTATTATGATTTAATAAAGTTTTTAGGGTGTTTTCTATATGTTTTGAGTCAATGAAGCACTTTTTCAAAGAATAAAAGCTCACCCTTGGGCTTAGCATTGTAGGTCCATTGTAGGTCCACACACGAGCTGTTGCTTTATTGGGTTGGGTGACAGGCCTAGCTTACCAGGCCTTGCAGCACCTAACCAAACCTGTTTTTTTTTTGTTTTTTTTTTTTTTAAAATAATGAATTACTTGTGTATATTTTTTAAAATAAATTTTTTGTTTATGTTGTAATTAAATTATGATTATTTTTAAATGATATTGGGTATGTTTAATTTTTAGAGAAATATGGATGATTCATCTGTGGTTTTTTTAATTTTATATAGATTAATTTTTTTTAATATTAATTTTTTGATAAGAATTTTCATATGTTCAACCTTGCATTGTTTTTTTTTTTAATTATTGATCAATAAATTTTATATGTTATGTGTATCTTTGCATTGTTATATATATATAAATTATTGTTCAATAAATTTTATTTGTATGTCAGTTTTAATTACAAATTTTATGTATTTTTACATTACAAATTTATTTTGATAGAGAAATTCATTACATATAACCAGGTAAATTACTCATATTGCGATGTTAGATATTTTGACCTTTATTTTTCGCTTGGTTTTCTCAATTTTATTTTTGTTTATTGTTGATGAATTTTTTTTCCATTACTTTACACAATGGCTATAGGATTGCTTAATTAAATGCATATATAAAATTTTTCAATTTACATCTAGGAGTTTTTTTTGCTATATATATGTTGTAAGTGTGTTTTGATGGTTAAAGATTTCCTAACATGAGAATTCCTTCAAAACAAGTCTTAATGCCTCTGAAAGTAAAGGCCAAAGACAAGGGCAAAGCACCTTAAACCAAGCCTACAAAACCAGAAAGCCCCAAGCCCTCTACAAAACTCATGTCTTCAGCTATCCTAGCTGTCAAACCAATCAAATCCTTGTATGAGATAGTTATTGAAGAAGAAGAAACGACAAAACCCCAACAGGTACAAACAGACGTAGTTCAACAATGGTTGACACTATATCCAAATCACTAGAATTACTACTGGTATTACAAAAAGTGTCTCAACAAACCTCCGATGACTCTATATCTCAAACAGGTAATATTTCCAAACCATTTTCAAAACCTCAAAGAGGCATTTCTACTTAAAAACCCATCCTTTCTTTACAAAAAACTAGTTTTTCAAAAACCAAATCCAAATATATTTTCAAAACTACTTTTCAAAATATTTTAACTATAGAAGAAGGATTTTATCATGAAAACCCTTCCATTGCTGCTTCCAAAATTTTCCCCTCAAACTGGTACTACAGACCCCGGAATTTAGCCAAACCACAATCCTTGAGATTACTAATTCTGTCAAATTCAAACACTTCAAACTTCATTTTGGGCATACTAACTGGCATATTCTACATGTATTTTTAACAAAGTCATTTAACCTAAAGACTGATGACAACCCTTACATCAACCTCTTTCCTTCCTCATACATTTCCGTACAAACCCCCAGGACTTCAATACTTCCTATACATACTGGAATTACCAACAGGCATGGTTCAATGCCTTTCTCTTACAAAATACAAATCATAGTCATTCTTGGCTTTTCTACTTCCAAAATGACATGAACACTACAAACCTCCCCCTCTGGTTCCTCCAATAGTGGGACTACTATGGTTATCATGTTGACTACCTCAAAGACCATCCTCTGGTTGAAAACGGTTACCTCCATTTCGAAAATAATTTTCAACCAGCTCCTTCTGAAAGGAAGTTCTCTTCTCTGCTCATTTTCTGTACAAAATTTTTTGTGTCGTGGGTATGTTCATGATTCTATGATTATAATCTACAAAACGAACATCCAGTTCTTGTTCGTAAATTCAAAATCAAATGGTAGGATACCTTTACAGGTGAATCTAAAAGTTCCAAATTAGCTATTACAGAATGGTTACAAAAACATCAGACAGCTCCCATCATTGATCATCATCATTAATCAAAGTTTCTAGCCAGAAAGGCTCAAACGACAGCTCTCCTTGCCTCTGCTAGAACTGAAGAAAAATACCTACAAATAGTTCAAAATATTATACAAAGCCAAGACTCGAAAATGATCTTATCCCAATCCAGCTCATCCGGATTGATATCTACTGTCATTTCCCTTGGAAATGATAATGAAGATGACTATTTTGGTATTCTACTACCTATCAAGTGATACTAAAAAAAAGAAGAAGTATTTTTCAAGCTTTTTCAGGCTCATCTGTTTAGAGCCATATATTTTCGACTCACCTGTTTTGAGTCCCTTTTATTTTAAGTCCCTTTGTTTTGGATTTTCTTTTTACAAATTTTACCTACTATTACAAATAAACAAATCTAGTATCGATGGCAAGAAGACAACAGATAAAAGTTTTATAAAAAATATGGGTTTTTTTCATTTTGGCATCATCCAAGCATGGCAAACAATACCACATGAGTTCCCATGAAATATCCAACAAGTTCATTTAATTAAGAAAAATAACAGAATTCTTTTTTTAACTAAAAAAATATGTTAATCTCAGCTACTTCCATCAACTATTGAAAGAATCATTCATCTAATCACAATCCCTTTTGTTTTTTTTTTTAAAGATTAAAAATCTTAAATTTCATTTCGATTTCTTGTTATTATTGCAAATAAAAGTAATACCCAAAATCAAGTCGTTCGATTTCTTGACTCAAAAATTAATGATAAACAAGTTAAAATAATCTTACTCAAAGTTCTAGACCTCATCTACGTAATTGTGAAACTTAAACCAAACAAGCTAGGCATAAAGCAGTTAATTCCTCACGATTACATATAGACAACCAACTCAGTACTAAAAGTAACAGTAATAGAGGAGGAGGAGCAACAATGGGTATTTGTTTTTTCTTCATTTCTTTTATTCTGTGGATCAATATTACCTGGGAGAGTTGGCCTTTGGAGATGAGACGGTGGATGTTAGAGGTGATAGACTTGGTGGCTCTAGAGAGAGCAGCGGGATCCGTGTCAAGCAGCCACACATCGAGCCCGTGTACGGCGGCGAGTTGGGCTATACCAGAGCCCATTTGGCCGCTGCCCACCACGCCTACAGCCTTGATCTCCGTCATGTTTGTTTCACTCTCCTCAATGATAAATGGTTTTGGTCGCTCCGCTCTTGATACCCTTGATAAAAGAGGATCTCCAAGCATGTTTTCTAAACAGTTGGCGTAGAGACAGATTCGAAAGGCGTCTTCTTTGTCTTATCTCAACAGGTGCTAAACCAATCTAATGGGATGGCGTGGGATGATTTTCTTTTCTTTTTGAATCATACATATTTGTTTACAAAAATGGAAAGGTCTTATCACTTTACCTCCACCTTACGGCGCCGAACCTAGCTTTTTCTTCTTGTTTTTTCCTGAGAAAAATGATTCCTTTACTGATATATAAAAAATTAAAGATAAAAATATATTTATTTTTAAAATAATTTTTATATTTTTAAGATAAAAAATAAGGCAATACATGTCTCTATATACAACAGTTTTTTATTTCTTATCTTTAAAATATTATTATAAAAAATTATTCTAAATTATCTAATTAAAATATTTTAAAAAATAATTATCATTATAATTTTAAAATTTAATTTAAAAATCAAACTATATAACAAAATTTGAGGAAGCTAATCTCCTAATTTTTCTTCAAAAATAATTAAAATAATATTATTTTATATAAAAAAATCAAAGAATTTTTTTACATGAGTTTTACTATGGGTCATGGGTCAACCAATATTTTTTATTAATTCAAGTCGAATCAATCATTTTTATATTTCTTTTTAAATTCAAATTGGTATGAGTTTTATTATTAGAGTTGTTATATTATTATTAATTTGAATACTCAATATAAAATAAAATAATATCTAATTATTTTCTAAAATATATAAGTTTGACAATAATATAAAATAATTTATTTTTATGTTTTTATATCTTTTTTTATCATCAAACCAAAAAAATACAGAAACAATTATTTTATCATATACATAATTATCAAACATAATTAATTTTTTATCTTTTATTTATGCCTTATCTTTCTTTGACTTAACCAATTGTATATAAATGAGAAATTATTAATATAATCTTATATGTTATAAAATTTATCAATTATACCCACCCATAAATGTTTTCTTTAATATATTCATCAATCAATTATTTTTATAAAAGTCATTACCGTAATAAATAATAATTTTAATATGGAATGACAAACAATACTAGTTTAAGCAAATAGAAAATACCACTTTAAAAAAAAATTATAATATGAAATGACAAATAATACTCATTTATATAAATAGAAAATAACACTTAAAAAAAACATTCACGTGGACTATACTAAATAATCTTAACATATAACCAAAACTAAGGTGGTTGGAATATATATATTATATTCCAACCACCTTAGTTTTGGTTATATGTTAAGACTATCTATGTATGTATGTATGTAAAAAATAACACTTAAAAAAAAACATTTACATGGACTATATTATATATGTATGTATGTAGAAAATAACACTTAAAAAAAAAACATTCACATGTATTATACTAGATAGTCTTAACATATAGTCAAAAATTAAGGTGGTTGGAATATATATATATATATAGAGAGGAACAAAATGTTGTGATTGATATCATTGAGAAATAACGTGTATCTTGGTATGTTTCCCTCACAAACTCATTATAATGGAACGATATAAAAATCCACTTTATTTGATGCTTAATCTTTTATTATTTTTAATTTGAGTGCTCACTTGTTGTTTAACTATTTGAGTGAGTGACTCAGGTTTGATTTTATATTGCTAGGTTAACCTATCATGCCAAGGTAGGTTTTATGATATTGCCATGCCAGGGTAGGTTTTATGATATTACTTAGCACTTATGAAATAACTTATATTAGATTTATAGCCAATGCTTCATCGTGAGACCAACACAAAATCTTTCAATGTAAAAAAAAAATCAAGGAAAATAATTTGAAATCCGAGTCATTAGTTCAATTAATATGATTAACAATACAACAATATTAAATAAAAAACAAAGAAAATGAAAATAAAAAAAGGGTTAAAAAAACATGATTTGAACCAAGCTGGATTATGAAAAAACTCAATAATAAAGGGAAAAATAAAAAAATAAAAAATTATAGTTAAACCAAGTTAACTTGTAAACTTTATGATCATAAATAGAGGGTTGAGATAATCTTATATAAAACAACATAGGAAAAAAAAATTGAATGTCAATTCCTAATAAATTAAATGAAAATATGATAACTTCACAAGAAGAAAAATAAAAAGGAAAGAGGTGAAGTTTGAGCTCTAAAAAATAAAATGTAAAAAAATATAATTTAAAAGGATAAAAAAAACTTGATCTGAGCCCATTCAAATCAAAATGCAAAATCTCTGACCTCGTTGTGATACCAAGGTGAATGTGTTTGAAAAAGAAAAGAAATAAAAAAAAAATATGAGCCAATTTGAGTTAACGTGTAAACTTTATGAACATGAAAATTGTGAAATCCTAACCGAATTTTATTTAAAAACTTAATTTCAAACTAATTTAATTTTGAATGATAAAATAATGAATAAATTATCAATTTAGAAAACTTGCCAAATTAAAAAAAAAAGATAATAATAAAAAGAATGGAGATAAAATTTTATAAGAAAAAAGCCATGAAGGATGAAATTGTACCAAAGAAATAATTGGGATAACCCAATAGAAAATAATTAAAAACAAAAGTATAAAGATTAATTTTCAATTAATCAAATGTTATATGAGAAAATTAAAATAATTTAATTTTAAAAAATATCTACAAAAAAGTTAATTTGTGTTAACTTTTAAAATCAAACTTAAAATTAACCTTATAGCAATGACAAAAAATCTTAGTTAACTTGGGTTAATTCATAAACCTTGTGATCATGGGTATATAATTAAGATAACTCAATATAAAGAAAGGAAAAGAAAGAAGAAGGAAGATCAATTTCAAATAAATTAAATGTTGAGGGATGAAATTGAAATAAATGAATTAAAACAAGAACAAAAAACAAGTCAACTTACATTAACCTTTGAAACCGGTGACTTTAGTAATGAACTTAAAACTAATCCTATATAAAACAAACCGTAAAACTCACAACTTGTGAAATCTTTTAATCAAGTTCAATTAAAAAACTTAATTCATAGCCAATTTAATTATGAAAGATGAAATCGAGAAACAAAATCAAATTAAAGAACTTGCCAAGGAAATAAAGACAGTAATAAAAAGAATGGAGATCGAATTTGAAAAGGATGGAATTGTAAAAAAAACCCTAAATATGCTAATAAATAGCAACCAAAAAATGAAGATTATTTTAAAAAAATAAATAAATAAAAAGTAGTGAAATTAGGAAATAATTATAATTTTATAGCTTATTAAAAATAAAAAATAGTAATAAAAAATAGGATCAAATCTAAAAGATTAAAAATTAGAAGGGGTTGAAATTAAAAATATTTTATAATGTTATAGCTTATAATTAAAAGGGGGTGAAATTAAAAATATTTTATAATGTTATAGCTTATTCACAAAAACAAATAATAATCAAAAAGATAAAAATAAAATAAAATGTAGGAGCTATTCTGATTTTTTGAAGGGTTGATAAGAATTTCAAGGGTGGAAGAGAGAGAAATAAATAAATTAATGGTTGTGGACTCTAAACCTAATATGAGTGAGGGGCAGGCATTGCTCTATTATGTCGGGGGCAACAAGACCTTTCAAACACTACTTTAAAAGGCGATCTTTGTTGGCCAAATAGCCATCATTACTCACCAATTTGTTTTTAAAAAAATTAGATTTAATGTATATAATTTACAACAATGCCCTTGAGCACCCTTGAAATTTATGATAAAATCATTGTAATATGATATTTTAAAAAAACCCTTGGGTGAGAGTTTGTTGGTTTTGTCTTGAAAAACATCAAAATAATTATACTATTTAAAAAACTTGAAATAAAAAAATGTTCCTTAGTAGTAGACATATTAAATTAATAATTGTATTGTACATAAAAAGATAAAATTACTACTTTGACCCTATCTAATTTGTAAAAGACAATTGTGTTATAGTAAAAAACTACCTTGCCCCCAATGCCCAAGTTGTATATGCATAGTATTGCGATGATCGTTCTCTTGAATCAGGATCCTTAAGTGTAGGTGAAAAGAATAAGAAATTCTTTTTCTTTATCGGTTAATATGGTTTGGAGTTGTCACCTAATATTTTGGTTACTAGGAACCTTAGTTGTCACCTAATATTTTGATTACTAGGAACCTTAATTAGTTTTCAAAATCTGGATAATAGGACCAATTATGTATAAAAAAGACAATATCACTCGTAGTACACTCTCCATAAGATTAAATGCATTGTTTATTTATCTGATTATTAAGATACTGTTATGTTTTCTAACCATTGATCAATCTATTAATCAAAGCAAAACCATCACAATATGATGAACCAAGGTTTTATAGGTCGAACCAAGTCATTTTAAAGCCCAAAAATATATTTTTTTAATTTTTTTCTTTTAACACTAGGAATATGATTTTCGTATAAGTTTATAATTCTTGATATTAAAATAAATAATTTTTTTTTAAGATGTAAGACAAGTTCTTATGGATTTATAAACATGTTATTAAATCTAAAAAAAACATGCAAGGATATGTGTGTGTGTGCGCGCGCGCAAAGTATTTTTCTTGAATTTTTGGTATATTAGAAAATGTTAAACCATGCCATGTATTTTTTTTATTTTTTTTATAAAAATATGATTTTTATTTGAGAGACTTAGTTATATACAACAAAATATTTAATCTATTTTTTAAAGAAAGACTTTTATTATTTTTGTATTCTTTTTAGAAAATTGGTTTATATAATGTCAAAAAAGCACTAGGTCACGATCCTAAATATTAAATAATAAGAAGAAAATATAAGAAAAATAAAAAAAATCATTGTGAATATGTCCCCTAAAGGCAATAAATTAAATTAATTGAGAAAACAAGAGCTGTATTTAGTGAACACTAAGATAAAAAAAAAAAAAAAAACACTGCTAGAAAAACCAGTATTTGGAGCCTAGGATTTAAAAATGCCATTTTTAAGTCCAAATTATAGCAACAACGAAGAAGTCCGAATCTATCTTGCAGCCCGAATACTATTTAGTGTTTAACCTATATTTGGAGTTCTAGAAGTCCAAATAATCTTAATTTTTTTTTCCTGGAAAGAGGTGACAATTTCCGAGAACTTTCATGTTC